TGACCTAGGTTAGAGTATTGATTGATATTAGCACTGTTAAAAAGTGTTTTCCACAATAAATGAGAGTTTAATTTCATGTTACAGTAGTCATGTAGTATAAGTTCATGTTCCAGGGGCCCTGTAGTATAGTTTCATGTTACAGTGGTCCTTTAGTATATTTTCATGTTGCGGTGGTCCTGTAGTATAGTTTCATGTTACAGTGGTACTGTAGTATAGTTTAATGTTACAGTGGTACTGTAGTATAGTTTCATGTTGCAGTGGTCCTGTAGTATGGTTTCATGTTGCAGGGGTCCTGTAGTATAGTTTCATATTACAGTGGACCTGTAGTGTAGTTTCATGTTACAGTGGTACTGTAGTATAGTTTCATGTTACAATGGTCCTGTAGTATAGTTTCATGTTGCAGTAGTGCTATAGTATAGTTTCATGGTGCAGTGGTCCTATAGTATAGTTTCATGTTGCAGTCGTCCTGTAGTATAGTTTCATGTTGCAGTGGTCCTGTAGTATAGTTTCATGTTACAGTGGTCCTGTTGTATAGTTTCATGTTACAGTTGTCCTGTAGTATAGTTTCATGTTACAGTTGTCCTGTAGCATAGTTTCATGTTACCGATGTCCTGTAGTATAGTTTCATGTTACAGTTGTCCTGTAGCATAGTTTCATGTTACAGTTGTCCTGTAATATAGTTTCATGTTACAGTGGTCCTGTAGTATAGTTTCATGTTGCAGTGGTCGTATGGTGTGGTTCTGTGGGAGATGTTGACACGAGGAATGATTCCCTACCCCTGTGTAGATGGATGGGAAGTCATTAAATACTTAAAACATCATAGACTTGATCAACCTCATTTCTGTCCAGATGTTGTGTAAGTACCACGAAAAAGTGCTGTAATGTACACTGAATATTGCCGTAAAAGTTCCATTCATACAGTTTGAAAAGTACCATGCATTTTGCTCTAAATGTACCCCATGTAGTACTATAAACGTAACATGAATATGGTTTTTAAAGTACTATGTATAGTGATGTAAAATTATGATGTATAATTCTGTAAACAGGGACCTCAAACTCAAATAATACGGGGAACACCGGAGATGGAGCCTGGATGAGACTGGGCCGCATCAAATATTTTACAAAAAAGCGATTACAAATTCAATACAGCAAAAATTTTACAATCTCCATTTAAAGCGCAAGTGGTTTGGGGGGGAAGGGGGGGGCATCTTGCACATTAAAAGAGAAGGGGTCAGTAATAATTTAAAAGTGGCTCTGTGTGTTTTGAAATCTGCAAAGATGTGATCAAATTCTTCCTGTAGCTTTGCAATGGCATCAGTATATTTACTACTGGGTGGTCCACCCGAGTCCATGAGTACTTTACATATTTTGAGATGGCAGATTTTACTCTGAGAACCATAACACAAGTTTTGTGCAGAATGTTCTGATATTATCATAGGCAAAACTGACATGGTACCCTTGGTCTTTTAAATTTTTGTTGAGTACATTCAGCTACTGTGTAATGTCTACAATAAAACCCAAGTTCATGAGCCATTTCGGATCATTAAATAGAGAAGGCGAAACATGAAACATTGAAAGGGACGGAGCATGCGGGGCTCGATGTAGTCGTCTACTCTGACTCAAGATCTGCTCTCGAGATCTTGAGAAAGAGACAAGGTACCACAAAGTTGTTTGACGACATCATTGGTGACGTGTCCAAAATCAGTGAACTAGGGGGCAAGTTGACAATACAGTGGATACCCGGGCACGTCAACGTCAGTGGCAATGAGAGAGCAGACACTCTGGCGAAAACCGGGGCTGCCCAGCCTCAGCCAGAAGTACCAATAACTTACTTGGCAATTAAAAACTGGCTGGAGGACCATTTCAGGATGAAGTGGTACAGGCAATGGGCAGACAACATGACCGCCAGAGGTGTCTATTCAATCTTGCCCACTCCTAGCAAACAAGACCCATGGTGGGGGTTAGGACGCAGACAGCAGAGCTTAGTGACCCAGATGCGCACGGAGCACTGCCCTATTGGCACATACTTCTGGCGGCTGGATAACAACAGGGATCCTACCTGCCGGCACTGCAGCCTGGACCCGGAGACTCTAGAGCACCTTTTGACCGAATGTCCTTCCCGGGGGATGCCAGGGCGGTTGGTGGACCTTTTTTGAGGTAAATGTTGTATGGCTCAGCTCAACAGTTGGAGTTTATAGCCAATTTACTAGCCGGGGTTATAAGAGAGTAATCTTGGACCTTCACCAGAATATGTGTGTTAGTTAGTACAGAAGGCGAGAGGCGAAGGTGGTAACTCTTGCCTATGATTCTAAGTATGCAGCCCTGAGAAGCTGCTCCAAGGCAACCATTTCGTCTCAGTTACTTCACAAATTAGTTGCGTCGTGGAAACTCAATGTAGAAAAATTCTTAAAGGGCGTCCAATGCTTCCCCGGGATGGGTGATAGAAGATATTAAGACGTAAATTTACCATCCAAACTCCTGAGAAAGTCGACCGGGTGTCTTTGCGTTGGGGCGGCCCCCAGTGGAACCCAATCGAGCGGACTCGGGTAAGGGCAAAGAGACATCTCCAACGTGCCACTTTGCGGCCCGATACCGGGCTTGGGGGGAAGGGTATGGTTGCTGTGGGAAGGGCATAAGGAGTATTAGCTCGACATCCCGCGGACGCCATTTCTTAATGTGACATTTCAGTACAGAAATAACCAACCTATCCTTCTCCATTAAGACTTTCAAGGTTTAAGCGTGTTCAAACAGTATTCAGGAGCAGGCAATATTCACGAATTATTGAGCGAATGAAGATCCTAGTGTAGGGAGAGTGAATTTTGATTATTATTTTTTTTAGAAAAGGCCGTTTTGACTACCCCTCTATTGAAAGTGACCAAGCTGAATAATCATGCAAATGACGTCATAGCGCAAATAACCTATTTCGCCAAAACTCTTAGGTTTCTTTAAATTTAATAACCGCTTGTGACAAAACTGATAATGTATTTTCCCTTTTAAAAGTAAAATTAATAAATATAATAGATTACTTTTTAAATTGTTAATAAAAAACACACACATTTCAGCTGTGTATATTTTAATATTTAAAAAGTTTTGCCTTTTTTTATTCATAAAATATACCTTTATTAAAATTATAACGTATTAAAAACTAACCTTTAAATATAATTCTAATGAGAAAATGCGGTTTAAGTCAAACAGTGCAGCGCAACTCCATAGCCAAGTAGAATTGACTTCCACTTATAACTTAAACAAAAAAGAACGAATCATATGAAGTGCAAATTATTTTAGTTCGGGTATTGAAGGGACTACAATCCAATGGTAGATTTTTCTAAATTTATTTAAATCTGGGTTGAGGGGGGGGGGGTGCCCCATGCAGCACAAGATACGTCTCAAAATGAAGGAGTGAATTAGATAAATAATTAACCTTCTTGGGTACATACATTTCGGGGGTAGGAAATAGGATGTGTAACTTTTCACGTGGATGACAATATATTTAAATCCTCTAGTAGTACATTTGGGAAAAAAGAGATGTTAAATTCTCTTTTTACAAATATGTGTATGTTCATGTTGCTCAAGGCAGCACAAGATACGTCTCAAAATAAATGAATGATTTTGATAAATAATTAATTTTCTTGGGTAAATACATGTCGGAGGTAGGAGATAAGATGTGTACATTTCTACTTGGATGACCATATAATTAACTCCTTTATCATATTACATTTGTGAAAAAGTGATGTTACATTCTCTTTTAACAAATGTACATATGTTTACCAATTAATAAAATCAATGGCGTTAAAAAATCTTGGGTACATTTATATAAGTAGACCCATGAATATCAAAACTCAATCATTTTACACACTAGAAAAAAATTAATTTCGAAAAATAGAAATGGGTTAATATTTTCAAAAACTTTAAAATATATTTTTGGTTTTTACTTTGCAAAATGTCAAGAAATGTGTATTTTATGAGATTAACCATTGTAAATTAAAAAAAAAACAAGACTCAAATCTGTTAAACACATGAAAAATGTTGCGCGATTCTTCTTTAGACAAAAGAATTCTTTGTTTTACGATTTGTTGATTATATATAATTTTTCTTTTAAAATGGTGAATATGTGTTTACATTTTTGCTGAAGATATCACTCTATATCGCAGTCTTATCATATACAATATTTTTATATCATATATAGAGTTTTTGTTGTAAATTTAAGGTAAGATTTTAAAACAATTTTTATAGAAATAAGTTGTAATTCAAGGGCACGAAAATGTATAAATCTAAAGTATTTCTCTAAAGTAGTAATTGTCCCTCAATTAACTACTTTAGTGATAAAAGTGATATGATTAGTGATAATTTGGACTGTGTAGTTTAAGGTCATGTTTAGAGGGGGGGGAAAAGGGAGTTTAGGAGCGTGAAAGGGAGTAGGTTAGGCCCATAATATTTAGCAGAATATGGAAAACGTACGGGCCGCATTAACACTAAACATTGCACTTCAGGTATCGGTCCGCAAAATATCGTCTTGCGCCCCGTAAATGGCCAAGGGGCCGCGAGTTTGAGACCCTTGCTGTAAAAGTACCTACTGTGCTCTACAAATATAATTTGATCAAAATGACGTTAGATTAAGATCACGGTCAAGATTGTTACAAAATGTATGAAACAGTTTGTCACAAAAATGAAGATATAATAATTCTTTTACTCAATTGTGTTCACAGTAAAATAAATATAAATATTTCATATATTCTATTTCAAAATACTAAACTTAAATATTTTTTTTTTATTTCTAAGAGGCAATATAGATCATATATAGACGATTTTGAAATGTATCCAACCATATTAGACTTTCCTAACTGATACTAAATCTATCATCAATAAATTGAAACATCAGCATAAAAAGATGTTTAATATTAAAGACGTGTCAAGAGATCAATGAAATGAATTATAATCTATGTATTACCTGCTCAGGTATGGACACATGATGAGTTGCTGGGATGAAGATCCAGACAAAAGACCAAGTTTCGAAGCCTTGCAAACCGAGTTGTTGCAGTTGATCGGTGGAGGACTACAAGTTTCTTCAGTCGCTTCACTGACTACAGATTCAACCTATGACGTCTGTCTGTCAGTTGATGAACAAACAGCAGGGTTCTCAAATTATAAAAATGCGTCCACGATTCCGTCTAAACAGAACAACAAAGGGCGTAACCAGGTCATAGGTCATGTCAAAGATGAAATTGGGGATGTGGCTATTTTTAATTTTTCTGAAAGAAAGAACATCCTGAACGTCTTCATAACAATGCCAGCATGTTACTCTATAAAAGACCGCTCAGAGCCTATGTCAGTGGCTCAATCTCATCAATATTTACACAGAAACTTCTCTGAACATAGAGAAGATGACACAGAATATGTCTAGAAAAGTGGTTTGTAGACATGGTACAATAAATACTGTTGGATTACAATAACACCTATGAAAATGATGAAAATGAAGTTATAAAATATTTGTATATTGATGTGTTGAAATATCCTGGGTTTGTGCTATGGTCAAACATCCAAGTTCTAAAAAAAATTCAAACCTCAGTTTTGTTTTCCTGCGCATGAAAACTTTAATTGAAAAGTAGCAGAAAGCTGTACAGCATTCTCGTTATAATGTCTCCTTCGTCTCCGTGTTGCAGTCCGTCGTTATGTGGCATAAGGCCGAGATGCCACGGTTGCAGTCCGTCGTTATGTGGCATAAGGCCGAGGTGCCACGGTTGCAGTCCGTCGTTATGTGGCATAAGGCCGAGGTGCCACGGTTGCAGTCCGTCGTTATGTGGCATAAGGCCGAGGTGCCACGGTTGCAGTCCGCCCAAATGTGACCTGTGGCAGAGGTGGAATGGGTCTGTGACACGAATCAAATCGAGGATCTGGCCCAGGAAACCTAAGGGGTACATATCCGCTCAATATTAACACCCCACACGGATCATGTGGAGTAAGTTGTTGTGCAAACATATTAAGAGATAGGGTTAGCGCACATGATTACTGCTGTCGCTAAAGTATGTTAATTCACCAAGATGTTAGGAGCTGGGCTTATGTCAAACGATTCCATCTCCCGCTAAAGTATATTAAACAACGAAGATGTTAGTAGTTAGGGTACGGGCACATGATTTCATCTCCCACTAAAGTATCTTAAATAACAAAGATGTTAGAAGTTAGGGTAAGGCCATGATTCCATGTCCCGCTAAAGTATCTTATATAACAAAGATGTTAGGAGCTAGGGTTAGGGCACATGATTACTGCTGTCGCTAAAGTATCTTAAATAGGACATATGATGTCATCTCCCGCTAAAGTAAATTAAATAACAAAGATATTAGTAGCTAGGGTTAGGGCACATGATGTCATCTCCGGCTAAAGTATCTTAAATAACAAAGATGTTTGAAGCTAGGGATAGGGCTCATGATTCGATCTCCCGCTAAAGTATCTAAAATAACAAAGATCTTAGAAGCGAGGGATAGGGCACATGATTCCATCTCCCGCTAAAGTATCTAAAATAACAAAGATCTTAGAAGCTAGGGATAGGGCGCATGATTCCATCTCCCGCTAAAGTATCTAAAATAACAAAGATATTAGAAGCTAGGGATAGGGCACATGATTCCATCTCCCGCTAAAATATCTAAAATAACAAAGATCTTAGAAGCTAGGGATAGGGCACACGATTCCATCTCCCGCTAAAGTATCTAAAATAACAAAGATCTTAGAAGCTAGGGTTAGGGCACATGATTCCATCTCCCGCTAAAGTATCTAAAATAACAAAGATGTTAGGAGATAGGGTTAGGTCAAACGATGTCGGCTGTCGCTAAAGCATCGTAGATAACAAAGATGTTATCGACGATGTAAAAGCAACTCCCATCGAGGTTGATTCTCTTAGTCAACAATCTCTCCATTTATTGCTTCTGCTGCTAGCGATGTCTAGTTGATTAATAATGATTACTGATCGCCTGCTTTAATTTCCTTATCATTATTTTATTAAATTTTGTCGTTCTTATTCATTGTTGAAGATCAAATTTAACCTGGCCAGATCACGTGGCCTTACTGCCTTCAGTGTTGAGGGTTAAACACGGGCGTTGAAAAGTAATATTTTGAGAAACAATTTGAAATCATCCTCTAACTTGTCAAACTACGAACACTAACAACTTTATCAGATTAAGTAAGTTCACAAAAATACATTTTAACATTGACAAAAATAATGTTTGCCTCATTAAAAAAGGCTTAGTCTATGGACACATATTGTAAGGAAACCTTGCTTACTCTCTGCTAACCTTCCATCTATATCTGGCATTTACTAAAGAACAACTCAGGCGATAACATTTGATGATTAAAATCTTGCTCTTTATTAGGCTGACGGTTCGCTTATATTCTCTCATCTCACAACTCTGACTGCCCTCTTCTCATACCATTCGGCCGCGCTCCCCTAGTCCTGTCCAGAGGTGCCTATTTATAAGTCCACCAGCCAACCGAGGCGTCTCTAGAGATTACTCCCCCTACCTTCTTAAGTCTTGATTTGTCCGCTACGCGCCAAACACCTGGACTGAACTCTGCCGTGGTTTTGCCCCTCATCCCTGCCCGCTGCATTCCTCAGGTCTGTAATCTTACGTGCCCGCCCCTTTGATCAGTCGGAGCCTACGCCCACCCCTGTCGCCACCAGGTTACCAACCAGTCGTCCCAGGGAAACACCCTGGTCAGATGGCCGGTACCCTGCTGCGAGATCTGACGCACCAGGCGCTTTGATCAGTCGACCCTGGTCAGATGGCCGGTAACCCCAGATGGCCGGTAACCCCAGATGGCCGGTAACCCTGCTGAGAGATCTGCCCGGCGCTCGTGGTCCGAACTCTCCACAATATTTCCTAAATATATGGTCTTATACAGCTATTGAACACAGGCGACAAGGCGTGCCTTAAGCATTTTATAAATGTTTTGTTTTTTTGGGGGGGTTTAGCTATGATTTTTTTGTTGTTTTGATGTTTTAAAAAAGGGACATTCTGAAATATAAATATATCCAACATCATCTTAAACCATTCACTTCCTGTCCTAATTAATTAGATGATAAGATACAACATCATCTTAAAAGATACACTCCTGCCGTAACTGTTCAAAAGAGAACTTGTAACTTTGTCTCAATCCTTGATTATTTTCCAAGTTCTAAGTATTAAATTGTAAACTTGATTTAAAGAAATATTCGTTAAAATTTTACATTCGAAATATATTACGATTTTATGGTCACCCTTGGATATATTTATAATTCTAAATATCCCCCTTTTTAACATTTGAAATTAGCCTCTAAATAAAACTTACTTGACTATAATATTGAACACAAATCTAATAATATTGATACGTCACTCATGTTATAGATTAATGTTTTACAAAAACAAAAGAAGATATTTAAAAAAAATTAATGGGTAGTCTCTATTCGCCCCTCCTTTAAATTCACATCTCTCGTCTCAGAGACCTCAGCCAACTTTTTGGACATACTGTCATCCTGCACAAAGACAGGCTACTCATCTCCGCCTCATTTAAACCTACTGAGAGCCAGTTATTTACTCTACTCTTCCTGGAACACTAAATCATGTAAAGACTATATTCCTTTTTCTCATAAACGTCCTCTTTGTCAATGTTCCGGCCTTCCTTCGTTGGTCTAGGGTCCTTCAAATGTTGCAGCCTCCATAAATACTACGTCTATGCATTACTATAATTGTTATGACGTTCTCTTGCTCTAGTCTACGCCTTACTGTTCGTAAGTATGCACTGGTATACACAGGCTGACAATTATGTAACACCTATCCTTCAACAAAGTCCAGGGCTATTAGATCATCGATAATCGCCTTCTTTATTTCTCATAACACGTGTCAACAGTAATTCTATGCCAACGGCACTAATAATCTTTTCGACACACCCTCAAAATCCCTAGTCACAAAGGCACGAAATAACCTCCCACTATCACATTTACGTCCTACTATCTCTAACGATCACTTGCCCCTCGATCGTGAACAGAATAAAACTCTCAGGCACAAAACCATACCTGTGAGTCTAACAAAAATATTATCTTACTCAACTCAGCTCACAACTAACTCACTGTCACACGGATTATGTCCACCCTGCCAATGGTCATTCAGACACTGTCACACGGAATATGTCCACCCTGCCAATTGTCATTCAGACACTGTCACACGGATTATGTCCACTCAGCCAATGGTCATTCAGACACAATAATAATGCGCATGACACAAATCATGGACCCAAACTGCGTTCATACTAACAGTGACCTCATATAAAACTGTCACCATCCATGCACTCATTTCCTCTAAAACTAGTTCACAACGGTCGCTTTGCCCGACGGAGGATAACCTTTGGGATAATGTAGATGAGAGAGTCGACTATTTCCGATTTAGGTTCTATTCAGAGACAGTAATTTCATCAGACCTTGAAAGGGTTAAAGTATTACCTGTGCTGATGCCTTCAGGTCACTCCCGATTGGCAATGTTGACAGATCAAGCATATTATCACATACTATTCTCGCAATTCAAAAGCCATTCGTATTTTCCTATAAAAAAAAAACATGTCAAGCCTCTCGTTGAATCGGATACACAAACAATATTATCTTCCCCACCTTTCATTGTTGTCAGAAGTAACAAAAATTTGCGAGACCCCCTTGTTCAAAATTCACATCAACGATGCCCCCTCCCACTTTGGGACCAAGCCATGAGAACGCAGCCTTTGCAACACATACCCTTTTGTCGCCAAGACTCAACACACTCACTTCTCTAAGGGTAGATTTCAGAAGATGAACAGACTTCATTGTACTAGCCGCAATGTTATCTAATCCACTGTTTGCAGCCGCTGCCAGATGTCGTACTTAGGGGAGACAGGACGCCGACTTCTCTGACAGGTGTACTGAACACCTCCGTGATATTACGCAAGATAAAAAGTATCGAGTATCTAAACACTTCAATAGTAGCGACCACGAGATGACGGTGGATTTTACAACTAGTGCGATCGTGACCTGCACAAACGCCCCAGCCGGGTGAATGTGGAAAACAAGTTGATACAGACTTATGCAACCTTCAAATCGAATGACGCAAATATTGTGTTATCATTCACCTGTTGATCATCCACTACTTCACACCCCGTCATGACCAATCGTAGTGGACTTACTTCTCCTCTTTTCTTTCCTTTTTTTGTCGTCCAGTATTTAATCTCACATTTGCTAAGTTTCTGTCACAATTCGTTCGCTTCCTTCTCGGATACTACTTTTCAGCAAAGTGCTATTTGATTTAACTTTTCTTTTTTTTTTACAGCTTTTCTT